TACCATTTGTTCCGATCAATGCAGCACTCCTTAGCCGAGAGAAAATTCAAAAACCGCGAAAAAGTCCAACCCAGGGTGTCCAACTACTTTGAGTCGCAGCCGGCCGAGTTCTGCAGGAGAAGAATCCATTCTTTGCGGAAACGTAGGCAACAAGTCATTGATAGTAATGGAGAATATCTTTTGGGTTGATCTTGTTTAGTTTCGGTTTTAAAATCAAAAATTTTTTGAACTCAAACGCGCATTCCTTTCCGAACAACCTAATAAAATGTTAGGCTCAAAAAAGTGTACAGCATGGAGAAAGTGATAGGAAATGAAGGAACTGATTGATGGCTTAATTACATGTTGGCATGCTGTCCATACTCTCGGTCCGAAGTCAGTAAACAAGTTCCCATTCTAGTAAACAACGGAACACTAGGGGCATTTCTGGCTTTCGGACATTAAGGAGACCGCTACTGTCCAGAAAACGCAAAGGATCCCACTGATTGACGACTGATGACAAAAGACACATGCCTTGCGTCACACCGCTCATTTAGAAAGGATTTGCGGTTCCAAGCCATCAAACGAAGACAACAGTATGCGTGACATGCGTATTCAACCATGATTAACTGTGTATAGTTATGCATAGGCACAACTGATGGCACTGACTATAAAAGGGAAGGCAGAAGCCAGAGAGACATCATCCTGCCCTTCTGCAACGAACAGTGAGTTCATCTGAAATATTACGATAGAATATTGTTGTTTTTCATCCCATGACCACAATTAATCTGACCGTCAGCAAGACTTGCTTCGACTTGCGACAGTTAAACGACATAAAGAATCTAGCGACGTTTTTTCCCCACTTTGCTAATAATTCTTTTAGCCTAATCAATATTGCGATGCTGACCGTTACTATTTCTGAATTTTATTTTGGACCACTTCTGAGCTGACTTCTGAATCACCCAACCCTTTTTGGTCTTACCTACTTGATTAGAGCAGGCCAATTCGCCATTCCGTGAAAATTCTAGCCCTAATCTACGGTGCAAGTAATAGCAAAGCTCACAAGCAGTACAAAAAAATTGCCCCAAAACAGAGCTATGCAGATGATCCCTCATCTTCTATTCAGATGGGCACTATGCTTCATTACGCCGTCACTGGTGCTTTCATCAGTACTGCTGTTGTCATCGGTGTGACATTCGTGATCATCTTTGACGTTATCAACGACATCAACGAATTTCAGAGGGACATCGAAAAAGATCTCGATCAATTCAAGGTTAGCTAGGAAGGCTTTCAGTAGTCAACGGTGCTCATTAACTGAACCATCGACGAGTGCTTAATTTGCTAATGGGGAATCCTATTGTGGTGAATCTTCCGATACGCTCCTTAGGTTACAATTGCGAAGAGTGCATCAGATCAGTCTTCAACTATAAAATTTCCAAAACGAAAATCAGGTAATTTTATCTTCAATTTATAGCTCATTGCCAATGATGCATGGAAGACAATGATGGGAGCTAAACAAAGTGAAAGCGCTACAGCCTTTGGTTCCATCAGAATCCGAAGAGGTGGTAGCTACAATGTCGGTGCTGGTGGTGGCTCCTACAGGGCTGGCGGTTCTTACGCAGGTGGAGGTGGTGGATCCTCCTATAGAGCCGGCGGTTCTTATGCAGGTGGCGGTGGTGGAGGTGGTGGTGGCTGTCAATGCGCAGCTCAAGCTACAGGTTGTCCACGAGGACCACCAGGTAAGTGGTAAACCACAAGTCTTATGAGAAAAGGTTCACAGAGAGAACTTTCACAGGACCTCCCGGTCTACCCGGACTGCCAGGAGATGACGGGGAACCAGGTCTTCCTGGAAGCTCAGGCGGAGCCGCCGTAGCTGCAGCACAGTCTCATTCTAGTGGATGCATACAGTGTCCAGCTGGACCACCAGGCCCACCCGGACCCGATGGGGGTCCTGGTCCGGCTGGACCGCCAGGAAATCCCGGACAAGACGGAGAAAGCATGGGAGGAGGTAAGATGGCGAAAATGTCGCTTTTCGGAAAAGCCACCGTATTGTCAATCGGATAATTTAGGCATGCCAGGACCTCCCGGTCCTCCTGGAGCACCTGGAGCCAATGGACAAAATGGCATGCCCGGAAACGATGGAGCACCTGGAGCACCTGGTAACTATACTTGGAAACAATTTCTTGAGTAACATATAATTTCCATCATTTAGGAACGAGGTCGTCCAGTCTACCAGGGCCAGCAGGACCAGCCGGACCAGCTGGAGCACCAGGAATGCCGGGACAACCTGGAGGCTTTAATGGAGCAGGACTACCAGGCCCTGCTGGTCCACCTGGTCCCCGCGGTAATGACGGAGCACCAGGAGCACCAGGAGCTCCTGGAGCACCCGGCTCTAGTGGAGGACCAGGATCTGATGCTGCATACTGCCCATGTCCTCCACGTGCTGGAGGGGGAGGGGGAGCGCTTGTAGGTGGGCCGACCAATAACGTTGGAAGATCATATTTTGGAGGTGGAAGTGGAGCTACTAACTACAATGGACCAGCGGGCGGAGGAAGATCTTCAGGAGGCAGTTACAATCAAGGAGTTCGAGGCAGTGTCAAGAGACGTCGCGTCGTTCACGCTGCTGCTTGAGCATTGCCGTTACATAAACTTCAAAATAAAGACTGAGTGCTCCAGTTTTTTCACATATCAAACACTGAAACACCTTTCCAGTAACTCAGAATGACAGTTCGAAAAAAAGAGAACATTTCTAACAATAAGCCGAAAGGCATAGTTTTGCGACTTCTTCGAAGTTCTCATCAATCAGACGTTTCTCCACTTCACTAAATCTTCTCCATCCCTCAAGCTCTCATCATTCTTCAGTGCAAGTGGTACCTTCCCTTTTCTTTTCCAGCTATTCATTTCATTCATACTATGCCCTACGATGTTTTCTTGTTTATCCTCAACTCACTGTAATCTCAAACAACAAAACTGCTCATGAAACCCATCACATACTTAATGGCCCAAAACCTCCTGATCATCTCTCCCGCATGCTTCACTTCAACCTCTTTTATCTCGCCTAAACAGGAATTCATTTTCCCTCCGTAAGCAAGCAACTGAATCTACATCACTCCAGCGACCTACGCCCAATATAACATTCACTGATAAAGCATTGCTAACACTGAAAACAGTTCGGACCCATGAATAGGGAGGCTCAATCACCGAAGCAGAGCGATCGATAGCCCTCCATTGTTTCATTTTTGTGGAAACACCTACGCCTAAGAAATTGTGATTTGAGCGTAGCTGAGATCCTTCCCTCCTTCTCTCTCCCGGCACACATGCTGCGACGAATCAAGTGGGACTTCTGGCTGCAAACCCCAAGGCGTTCGATCCCAATCACAGATTCGATAAAAGTTGATAAATGAATCTCAATCAGGGGTCAATTCACAACGACGGATTAGAACAACCTCGTCGGGCAGCCCAGCTTTTAGACAAGAGCTCTGGGTCATTCCAGATAAGAACCCATCTTCATTTAGGAGGTTCAGCTGGGTACCGAGCTCTTAAAACAAAAAAAGGAGTTGGTGTTCTCGGGGCTACCCTTCACGCCTCAAAAAAAAATTCACTCAAAAGAGTATTCATGAGGATTAAGGACCTCTGCTCACTGGAATCCAAACTGACGACCCATCACCCATGCCATAGGGTTGCCTTATGGAATAGGTTTATCGCAAATGCAAACCCAACTCATTGGTGTCGATTAAGCTGTAAAAATCAAAAAGGAAAAAAAAACAACCTTATTTATGGGTACGGTCAGTCACCCAACATATTACATATAACATACATCCGAACAGAAAAAAATTCATCAATAAATCTACTCTACCAAGAACCAAACAAGAGCAGCCAACGATTTTGAAGGTAAGGCGAATATGTACATGGTGTTCTAGCCTGAGGATACAATTCCGAACCCGAAACATTAATTTTGTGGATGACGGACTGCTGATAACTGGTGGAAAAATGCAAAGTGGCCTAGGTCGATAATCCCGGTCGATAATCGATAAGGGATTCAAAATACTTCGACCACTGAAAGTTGCTAAAAATTCCGCGTTTTCACAAGTGCCATGCATTTGGTGAAATTCTCACGGGAAACGACACCCTCTCTACCTGCGCAAGAGGTGCTTGCTGCATTCAACCCTACGACATACCCAAAGCTTACTTCGGAAGAATTAGCCGAACCCAGTGAAATCGAAGATTCGGCAGATAGAATCGGTTGGGATTCGATTTGAGCTTTCGTCTTTACTGTAAACAAGCAGCACCATCAAATTTCAAAATGTAAAACATCACAGTTGAACTAGAATTGCACTTGAGCGGACCGAACAGAATTCTCTTCCAACCCATTACATGAACTGATGAAGTTATGGTTTACAATGTATGTAAGAGGGAAGAAACTGCGCATATCAGGCAGGCTCTGAAGGAGGACTGTTGAGACTGGTGAGCACTGTTTCACTAGTTCTACTTCATAATCAGAGGAAAGACAACATCTCAAAGCCGCCTGTTGTTATAAGATAGCTTCACAATAGGCTTCTTCCGATCAGTCAAGGGTCCGTCTAGCTGCGAAATAATTACATAGAAGGAAAGGGAGTGGAGTCATGGTCCCGCTCCTGGATCTTGCGCAATCTTTGCCCCATCTATTAAGAAAGGAGCCTGAGACGGTTTCCTTGAGCACCTCAGCATCGATATCAGGCAACCGCTTTCAGTTCATGTCATTGTCACCCAAATAAACTGTTGGTCGCGATAGTCGTTCAAGATGAGATGAATACCGACGTGTTTTCAAGCGCTAATCTCAATACCATATTTCAAACTTGCTAAATAACTCTGGACGCATTGCTCCCGTGTATTATGGGATTTCGGCAAGTATCTGGGAAGAGTCACTTCATCAGATGTGCAGCGATGGCGAGACAAGTAAAGCAATGGACTCACAAGTGTGGCATGAGGGCTAGAATCCCGCGGGGTACTAGGACTGCTTTCCTCTTTTATAAGATGTATGCTAATGCTTGGCAGAACAGTTTTCCGCCTGCCACTGACTATCTGCATGACCACACAAAATCTATTGAGTCGTTCGCAAAGTAATTACGATTTTTGAGCGTTTCACAAAACACGCTTTTTTTCCTATTGAACTAACGTTAATCAATGGTATGTCCAGTTTTGTTCGGTTGTATTTTGCATTCCTTGTGGTAAATTCATAGCTCGTCCTACGGAAACTTCGGCTATTTTGGCCAAAAAATTGGACCACATAAGAATTGATGCCTTCATTTTCGGTGAAGATTTCTTGGTTCATTGGAGGACTCCTGCAACCCGAAATATGTAAGTAGGATTCGGATGTCGCGAGATCAGGGATATACGGTGAATGAAGCAATGAGCTTTATAGCTGGCCTTCAATAATTTTTACTGAGTCCAAAAAATGTATTCAATCTGGTCGCGTCATGGCATAGCACTACTCCTTTGAAACTCATTTATTTGGAAAGTTTTTCTCAGCTGCTCCATAAATTTCTAATAAGGAGTTGAAGAGGTTCGAGTTGACCTCGCCTTTGCAGTCCTACAACGTTGTGTCGCGAACTCCTTTCGATGATCAGCTATGGAATTCGTTTAACCAGGTTCATCCGGTGCCTACCATATCGTTTGAGAGTAAAATTATCGTAAACGTCCCTTATCAATAGCCACTCTTCGGTTCATGAGTGGAAGCTCCGCTTTGCGTTTGAAGTGCAAATCGCAGACGCTCATTCGCGGCGTCAAGTTTACCTCCCTCAACTCATGTGGCACCTGAATACCTGGCTTTTTTATCGTTTTTTTAATATTCTCGTCAACTGTTCCCGTGGATGAGATGGTCTCCTCAGTATGTTCCTCTACGGATTATTATAAATCGGCTATAGTCAATGCCACCAAAAGATTGGCATCTATGCCTACTGGGCAGTCCTCTTTAGAGTGAAAAATTGCTATACCGAAAAGTTGTAGACCAATGTTGACATGTGCTCTGTAATAAGACAATGCCACCTTATGTTTAACTCCTATCGAGAAAGACTACACCAGCATTTCAGCCGAGATAGAGTTGAAAATGTCAAGTGCGCCGAATATTCTCCATCTGACACTCCATGTTTAAACCAATCCCAAAATCACAAATGGGAATGAATTTGATCAGTTTTCCCTTAGAAGAGGTGCAAGTACATACCTGTGATACATTCATATATCGAATAAGCGTTCAAACTCTTCAAACAAGCGTTTGAAAAATTGTTTTCAAAAATAGTTATAACTTTCCAAACAACCTAATTCTACAGGGTCAAAGAAGCACTCATCAAGAGAGGTGATCAGTTAAAATCTGTAATACTCATAAACTTTCAGGGATTGATGCTGCACTTCTTGCTCTGTGCCACTATAAACTACTAATAAACAACATCACAAAAGGACTCAAATACCAATAATCTAAAATGTTGACCTCGCCCGAAAAACAAATAACTGGTCTATCCAAAATTTGTTTCAAGTCAATATAACAAGATGTAGGTACCAAGATCCACGTACCTCCCGGTAATCAGTCGATGGATGTCGGAACCAATGCAGGATCTAGTTGAGACCAGCCAACTTTCGCAGTCATGACTGCCCGCTGGTGATGACTGCAGAAGTGAAACATGGTGGATTCGAGTCTCACTAGGCGAATCGACCATTCTCCACCTGCGCACATAATCAAAAGTTTATTAATGTTGTGAAGTTTTAGGCTCAAAAAAGTGTACATCTCGATAGAAATGTTAAGAAATGAGGATAAAAGTTGATTGATGGCTTAATTACATGATGACATACTGTCCATACTCCCGGTCAGCAGTCAGTAAACAAGTTCCCATCCCAGTAAACAATGGAACTCAGGTGCGTTCTTGGCTTCCGGACATTAACGAGAACGCTATTGTTCAGAGAACGCAGTAGCTCCCACTAATTGACGACTGATAACAATAAACACATGTCTCGCGTCACACCACTCACCTTGAGAAGCTCTGCGGTTCCAAGCCATCAAACGAAGACAACAGTCCGTATGGCATGCCAATTCAATCATGGTTTACTCTTGGTGTCATTAATTATTATGCACTTGCTAAGTAATGGCACTGACTATATAAGGGGAGGCAGAAGCCAGGAAGATATCATTCCGCCTTCTGCAACCAACGGTAAGTTATCTATACTATCTTGCCACGAATAAAGTCATATTTCCATCCAACTACTCGAATTAACCTCATCATTACCGCTTCAACCATCCTAACTCAATATGCGATAGATGAACGGCATGAAGACTCTTAGATTGTCTCCTTTCCTCATTCCCTCTTCACTCGACCCTCATTGATTCCTATGAACTCTGAGTGTAATTCTTTCCGAATCCCCCTCCCTCTCTTTTCTTCAATTCAGAAGGGGATTGGAAGCTTCTTAATTCATAGGAATTGTAGTCCATGTTGCAAGCAATAGCACAGCCCAAAAACAGGGGAAAAACTTGCGCTGACATTCAACAACACAGATGCCTGTTGAAATGCAAACCCTCTACTCATTTTAGATGGGCACTATGCTTCATTACGCCGTCACTGGTGCATTCATCAGTACTGCTGTTGTCATCGGTGTGACATTCGTGATCATCTTTGACGTTATCAATGACATCAACGAATTCCAGAGGGACATCGAAAAAGATCTCGATCAGTTCAAGGTTAGCCAAGAAGGCTTTCTGTTATCAATGATGCTTATTAACTGAATCATCGACGAGTGGTTAATTTGCTAATGAGGAATCCTATTGTGGTGAATCTTCCAATACGCTCCTTAGGTTACAATTGCGAAGAGTGCATCAGATTAGTCTTCAACTATAAAACTTCCAAAACGAAAATCAGTAATTTTATCTTCTATTTATAGCTCATTGCCAACGATGCATGGAAGACAATGATGGGAGCTCAACAAAATGAAAACGCTACGGCATTTGGCTCGATTAGAATCCGAAGAGGTGGTAGCTACAATGTCGGCGCTGGTGGCGGCTCCTACAGGGCTGGCGGTTCTTACGCAGGTGGAGGTGGTGGCGGTGGTGGCTATAGAGCCGGCGGTTCTTATGCAGGTGGCAGTAGTGGCGGTTACGCACGTGGAGGCGGCTGTCAATGCGCAGCTCAAGCTGCAGGTTGCCCACGAGGGCCACCAGGTGAGTGGTAAACCACAAGTCTATTGAAGAACTTGTTCACAAAGAAAACCCTTACAGGACCTCCCGGCCTACCGGGACTACAAGGAGAAGACGGTGAACCAGGTCTTCCTGGAAGGCCAGGCGGAGCCGCTGTAGCTGCAGAAGGATCTCATTCTAGTGGATGCATTCAGTGTCCAGCTGGACCACCAGGTCCACCCGGACCTGATGGAGGTCCTGGTCCGGCTGGAGCTCCAGGAAACCCCGGACAAGACGGAGAAAGCTTGGGAGGAGGTAAGGCGGCTTATAGTCACGAAAATGTCGCCTTTTGAAATAGTCACTGTATTGTCAATTGGATAATTCAGGCATGCCAGGACCTCCTGGTCCTCCCGGAGCACCTGGCGCAGATGGACAAAATGGTATGCCTGGAAATGATGGAGCACCCGGTGCACCAGGTAAGTGAACATGAAAACATTTCTTGTTGAGTGATTTATCTTTTCCTCCACTCAGGAACGAGGTCATCCAGTCTACCAGGGCCAGCAGGACCAGCCGGACCAGCTGGAGCACCTGGAATGCCAGGGCAACCTGGCGGCTTCAACGGAGTAGGACGACCAGGCCCTGCTGGACCACCTGGTCCCCGTGGTAACAACGGAGCACCAGGAGCACCAGGAGCTCCTGGAGCACCCGGCTCTCATGGAGGACCAGGATCTGATGCCGCGTACTGCCCATGTCCTCCACGTGCTGGAGGGGGAGCCCCTGTAAGTGGGCCGACCTACAACGCTGGAAGATCATATTCCGGAGGTGGAGGTGGAAGTAGAGCTAATAGTTATCATGGACCAGTGGGCGGAGGAAGATCTTCAGGAGGCAGTTACAATCAAGGAGTTCGAGGCAGTGTCAAGAGACGTCGAGTCGTTCACGCTGCTGCTTAGACGTTCCCATTACACAAATTTTGAAATAAAGTCTTAGTAGTACAAGTTTTTCACAAAGCACAATGCTGTCACACGTTTCCACTAGGTCAGAATAATAGCTCGAAACAGAAGAAAATACTTTTGAGCACATGCTTTTACGACTTCTTCGAAGTTACGAACAAACAAGCTTTTCTCGAACTCGTCAAATGATTTCCACCGCTCTTCCTCTCTTCACTTTTCAGTTCATGTGCCATCCAACCCTTTCTTTATCACTTATCTTTTGATTCATTACATCCACCGAATGTTTTCTTATTTATCCTCAGCTCATTCTCAAAATCGCATCACATACTTCATGGTCCCAATCTCCTAATCATCCTTCCTGTATGCTTAACATCAACCTCACTTATGTCTCTTGAATAAGAATTTATTTTCTTCCGCGATTAACTTGCTGAATCTATATTATTCAGCGATTTACCCCTAAACACTTAATTCGTTGTTAACGCTGACAACAGTTCAGCCCTTAAATAGCGAAGGCTTGACCACAAAAGCAGAGCGATAGTACCACTCCTCCATATTTCCGTTCTCGTGCAAACACCTACAGCACACATTGCGATTCGAGTGTAGCTGTGATCCNTCCCTCCATCGTTCCCCCAACACACATGATTAAGACGGGTGGAGTAGAAGTTCTGACAGCAAATCCTAAAGCATTCAAGCGCAGTCACTATTTCAATAGGAGTTGATAAAAAGCGTAACGCACATCCATTCAAGGGCCAAGTCACAACGACAGACTGGAGCGACTCGCTGATTACCTTAGCTTCTGATCGAATACTCAGATTCATTCCCTATGGTGAAAATATGAACCCATATATTTATCACGAAGGTCAAGAGCGAACCAATCCCTTTAAGCAGGAGTAGGAATAAGGCCTTTCAAATCTTGCTTTCCCGTCTCGAAAAATTTACTCAATAAAGTATCTTTGGATATATTCTTTCAAAGAGGCATGAGTATGGTATCAAACTCAAATTCTGAAAGTAATAGACTTTCTTGGAGCCTGCAGTGTATAGCGTCTGTTCGACCTATTCGAATTGTTCGGGAAAAAGTAACCAAATACAGAATTATAGCCTAATAAAATTTAAAAAAAAAGCTGTAGTTCACATGTAGACTACTTTGTTGTCAGCGTGTTAAGGAAAATTAGAAAAAAAAAACTTATCTGAATTAGAGTTTCTTGAAGTAAGAAAACGGCAATACAGACATTTCCTTAGATGAAGTTTTTGATGTTTCTTAATGCGGGTAGGGAGAGTATGAGCAGTCTAAGTGCTTCGCAAGGCCTCAGAATACATTTAATAAAAACACAAGAACACAATGCCTGAGCAATGCAAACTCTCATACCAAAATTATCAGCACACCGCTTTACTTGTTGCGCCATTGCTCCACATCTAACGAGTGACTGGCCCTGCATAAATGCTCGACAAAATCCCACAGTACATAGAAATAAGTCTGTCACTTTGTTTATGAAGCCATTACGCAGATTTGGATCAGGGATCCAAGATCAGTGCTTGAAATACATAGTTGGCATAAATTCCACTTTAGATTGCCACTACTTTTGCTAGATTGGGAGCTTCGAATGACAAATTAAGTTACATTACAACAGCTCAGAAAAGACAGCCGACATGCGGCGATCATATGAACTATGTATTTAGTTATGTTTCTTTACCGGAAATTCGTTCTTTTTGGCTTTTTTCAAGGTTATCTTATAAGGACTGATCTCATATTGTAAGCAATCCATCATTCATCATTATCATTATGAGATATCACAATAGAAAACAAAGCTTGGTGTGGGCTACAAAACAAAAGATCAACAAGTCAGTCCCAAAGAGGCTATCCATGAAAGAACGTTCGATAGAATTCCATCTGGAAAACCTATCCTGTGGCAGTGGCTAACACGCCCCCTCAAACACTTCTCAAAAAAGAAAAAAGAAAGAACGATTTTTGGAAACCCAATGCAGTGGGCTATTCACACGAAATGATTGATTTATCGAATACTCTTTTCAATAATATTCTCAATGTATATATGTGCTCAAACATACCGTAATCTCAACAGCAACAATGATCGCTCGATGTCAAAACTACATCAGGTAATCAGCTGAGCCATATTTTCTCGGTTGTGATGGTAGGCGCTAAATTTGACGGACTCAAGTCTCAGTCGACAAACCGATCAATCTGAACTTGCTTTCATAACAGATGCTTTTATTGATAAATGCAAAATATCTCACCTCAAAAAGAAATGCACACCTTAACAAAGATCCAGAAACTGAGGTTGAAAATTAACTGATGACTAATCTGTTGGTATACCGTTCTCGGTCAACAATCTGTAAGCACGACACGATACCAGTAAACAACGAAGAACACTATGGAAATTGCTGGTCTCAAACCATAAAGAGAGTGTTATCGTAGAAAACACAATAGCCTCTCGCACGATTGATGGCCGATAACGACGAACATCAAAATCTCGTGTCATGAAGACTGGATTTGCGGTTCCAAGGAGTCAAGAGGACACAGCAGCATGCATGACACACAAACACAACTATGATTTACTATGAAACTGGAAACCAGATGAGGACACTGACTATATAAGGGGAGGTAGGAGTCAGGAAGACATCATTCTGCTCCACTGCACTCAACTGTAAGTTCATCTAAATTTCAGCAATACGAATAGAAAATCTTCTTCCTTTCTCTTTTCAGCTACTAAAATTATTATCATCACTACCACCTCAACCAATCTTACTCCCTATTAGGAACGTTTTGCTCCCTGATTCTCACTCTTTTCGACACTCAGTTGGCCCTACAAATTCTGTAGACCACTTTACTTTTCTTTCTCAACCTATTTTGAAATATTTTTAGGTACTCTATTGAATTATCCAACCCCTATCCCCATCAATTTGATTCAGACAGGCCAATCCGCCATTCCATACGAACTTTCATAGAGAAGGCCGTTTTAAGCTATGAGTTACAAAGAATAGTAATGATAGAAATAGTAGCATAGCTCAGAAACTACCGTACAGAAAATTTTGCTTCAAGACTGAGCTGAGCTATGTGCATGTGTCAATCTCAAGCCGTATTTTCATTTCAGATGGGTACAATGCTTCATTACGCTGTCACTGGTGCACTCATCAGTACTACTGTTATAATCGGTGTGACATTCGTAGTCATCTTCGACATTATCAACGACATCAACGAATTCCAGAAGGATGTCGAGAAAGATCTCGATCAATTCAAGGTTAGCTAGAAAGGCTTTAACTCGTCAAGGACGCTTAGCACCTATCCATCATCAGGTGGTAAATATTCTTTTTTCTCTTTGGAGGTTCTATTGTTGTGAACTCTTCAGGAACACTACTTATAGTATAAGAGCGGAAGCGCGTATGTGAAAGGTCTTCAACCACAGAATCTCCCAAAAGAAAATAAGTAATGTCCTTTTTAACTTACAGCTCATTGCAAACGACGCTTGGAAGACAATGATGGGAGCCCAACAAAATGAAGGCGCTACGGCCTTTGGCTCGATCAGAATTCGAAGAGGTGGCAGCTACAATGTTGGCAGTAATGGTGGTTCTTCCTATAGAGCCGGGGGCTCCTACGCAAGTGGCAGTAGTGGCGGTTACGCACGTGGCGGCGGCTGTCAATGCGCAGCTCAAGCTTCAGGTTGTCCACGAGGACCACCAGGTGAGCAGTACACCACAAGTTTCATTAAGAAAACTTTCACTAATTGTAAAACTGACCGTAAGCTGTAAATTTTAATTGTAAAACTCGTACAACTCTTGAAGGACCTCCCGGCCTACCCGGAATGCCAGGAGAAGACGGAGAACCAGGTCTTCCTGGACAAGCAGGTGGAGCCGGAATGGCTGCAGAAGGATCATATTCCAATGGATGCATAAAATGTCCAGCTGGACCACCAGGTCCACCCGGACCAGATGGGGGTCCTGGCCCGGCTGGACCGCCAGGAAATCCCGGACAAGACGGAGAAAGCATGGGAGCAGGTAAGGAAGCTTATGGCGACGGAAAGATCACGATCGAATAAGAGTCATTATGAATAATCCAGGCATGCCAGGACCTCCTGGTCCTCCTGGACCACCTGGAGCCGATGGACAAAATGGTATGCCCGGAGATGATGGAGCACCTGGAGCACCAGGTAACTAGGCAAAAAAATCTTTCTCGAGTGATACATAATAGCCTTCACTTAGGAACGAGGTCATCTGGTCTACCGGGACCAGCAGGACCACCCGGACCAGCTGGAGCACCTGGAATGCCAGGAGAGGATGGCGGTTACAATGCAGGAGGAAGTCCAGGGCCTGCTGGGCCACCTGGTGCCCCTGGTAACGACGGAGCACCGGGAACACCAGGAGCTCCTGGAGCACCTGGCTCCGATGGAGGGCCAGGAACTGATGCTGCATACTGCCCGTGTCCTCCACGTGCTGGAAAACCAACTGTAAGTGCGCTAGCCTATAACACTGGAAAATCATATTCAACAGGTGGAAGCAGAGCTAGTAGCTACAGTGGACCAGTGAAAGTTGGAAGGCCATCAGGAGGCAGTTACAATCAAGGCGCTCGAGGCTCGTACAAAAGACGTCGCGTCGTTCACGCTACTGCTTAGACATTCACCTTGCACACTGTTCACCAGACATTCAACAATTTTTCAATGAAGTTTCAAAATTATTTGTGTCTTTCATTCTTACACGCCAGAGTTCTCCATATAACGAATAACATCTGAAACAAATACAAAAATGACCCTCTTCTGAGGCTAATTCGATGTCCAACAGGCTTCTTTTGAACTCATCGAACATCTCCCCATTACTCATTCTCTCTTCCTGCACTTTTCCTTTACCACCTAATCATCATCAGGGGAGTCGATTTCTTATTATTCTCAAGCTCTTTATAATTGTGAACCGACAACTACACGCCAAACCCCTCACAACCCCCGAGCATCAATGCCAGAAATCCAGCCATCTAATTCCAATTGTCCAGAAAAGATTCAAAAAAAAAAAACGAATACGTACAGCGCGGAACAACCGATCCCAGTCACTCAACACATCTACAAATGCAGAAAAATTTATACACAAGTCACTTCTCACAAAAACTAAACAACAAAAACAACAACAACAAACGAGTTAAAAGATAATATAAACAAATGAAACCGTATAGAGGTAAGTAAAGCTTCTTTCAGAACAAGTAAAAATAAAGTGAGGAAGGGTTGATCCAATTCCGAGATAGCTTCTAAGGGCATGAAAATGAAATAATAAAATGTAGAGTAAAGAATATGATACAGAACAAAGCCAAGTCTGTTTCGTGAGAAACCGTCTAATTCTAGGCCCAATAGTGCGAGTCTATTTCGCAATGAAGGCGTGCACTGAGATTCTTGAAAAAGTCAGGTGTGCCATCGTGTACGAGCCTTCCGCGATCACCACTGCCACCGGACACCACCGAACCGTCCTCCATATCCCGAAAGCTGCAAATACAATGGCTAGAGTACATTTGACTATCACTGAGCAAAAACCCACTTTTCTGCTTTCCAGTTATTCCTTCCTCGCTTCGACAAATTGGTAGCCGACGTGCAGACAGATGGCAGGGTTGTAGTTCCACAAACAACCTAAAATTAGAAGAAACTGTAATGGTGAGTTCAAAGATAGAAGACCTAGAGAGAAGCTCAGACTTGATGTCCATGGCACAGCATATTGGTAATCTGCTTCAATTCTTCCATTGTTGGCAAGCATCCAGACGTGCCTTTACTGTATGTTACCAAAGTGCAGCGTAGAGTTCGAGCGGTGCCCTACAAAGGCATCCGTGTACTTTCTAACAAATACATACACAAAACAGAATGCTTTCGAAGATAAAATTAATGATGTAAAAGTGTAAGCGTAATGTTACTTGGAGAGCCTTTTGAGGAACAATGAGGAATTCATTGTATGCAGGATGCAAGGCATCATCCACTACAGTGCCGCTAGGGACGTTTTGATCCATAGGCCGCGCATGTGGGTCGATTCTTAACATGAACCAATGTGGAAAATTACAAATGAACATTGGAAGCTATTTGGATGTGATTTCAGGGTTCCAAATAAAAAGCAAGTGTGTTGCTCAGGAAGATATCCGAAAAGAATGAACAACGCAGATGACTTCCACTTGAATCTATAATTGAGTGTCATGGCCAGAAATAGAAAAATGTCGTTTTCTGTGATGAACTCCAACTAAGCAGTAAGATAGATGGAAAATGCTATTTGCTATCAAATGTTGAGGAATTCGCAAGAACCTTAATCCTATCACTAAAGAAGCGTCTAGTTCCACGGTCCAAGGAACCGCTTTGTTCAATGACCGGATATTTCTAAAAAAAAAACAGCAGTCCATTTACTTTAAACTCACTTGGTGGGTATAATACGATAATTTGAATTCGTCTGAACGACCAAACATGTGAGCGAAGGAGAATACATCCCGTGGCGATACAGGTGATTAACTTCTACGAAGGCTTTTTGCAGCTCGATCATTTCTGCAGCAGCCTGCAAATGAAACTAATGTGATGCTCATCAATACTACATGCATCACTAACATCAACGGGTCATAGCATTCATCAATATTACATTGATTGAGCTAACACGAGGTGAACAATAGAAAGTGACAATGAATGATGAATGGTTCGTGACCTTACAATACAGAACCCACAGCCTTCTACACCCGTTTACAAAGACTGTCAACAAAATAGCCAGACTTCCCCTTTTTAGTATGCTCCTTAATAGTAAGCTCAGTGCGATCAAGTGCTACTTCATTCCAATTGAACTGACATTTTATCAGCATTCAGAAAGCATTCACCCACATCACCAACTCTGCTAATACTTTTTTTATGGATACAAACCTTTTTAAACTCTCCCTCTGAAACTCCACCACGGAATACAACAATATCGAGAGGTAGGCTGTTTGTCTCCTTCAGGAAATTTTGAAGTGCCACAGTGAAATGCCTAAATTTAACTCATTTTTGCATTCCTCTACCAGCGATCAATACCCTTTCACTTACGTTGCAATGTCCGAAATCGAGTTGAGACGAGGTTCCTGCATCCAATAAGTTCCTCGCATCTTTGTTGCCTCGCCAACAGTGTACGCCATCTAAAATTGATATTACTTATCTACAGCACGACCAGGGGTTCGAATCCCCGATCGATATTAGCCTAGGCCAAGCAAGCCTTTCATCCCTCCGGGGTCGGTTAATTGGTACCAGACTTGTCTGGGAGGATAAATGCACTGACTTGTACATCGTCTGGCCACCACAAGTCCATGTATAGGCCACATGCGCACTCATTACGCCACTACGATTCTGAATGGAAGTCGAGTGCGGAGGCGCATTCTTCAGACAGGATTTATTAACGCCAAAAACTTTATCGTTATACTTTATCTACAGCCGCCGAATGAGTTCAAATAAAGTTTCACATTTATAAATAAACTGCTGATCGTTTCGATAAATATCCCCAAGTTTCGAAAATATCGAAAAGTAGGAATGGTACCTATGAAGAAGGCGGTAGCAAACGGTAGCATAAATGAAACTCTGATGTAAACATTGAAGCTCTGTACAGCAACACAATCTCACAAACGGTTTTCATGACGGTCAGTATTACTCAAGCGAATGAAAAAAACGAACCACAGACATAAGTTCGATTTGGAAATCTATGGAAGTAAGGTTACTATAATGCTGCAATTTTTACACAGTCCTCTTCTAATTTAGCCCTTGTCTCCAAAACAGATCCCAAGCGCCAAAGTGAACAGCGAATGGTGCCCTCATGACAAGAAAAAGATGCTGATTTCCTCAGATTGGATCGGAATTATAGTATGAATGGTAAAAGAAGAAAAGATGAGTTCAACTTCAATCTACATACACCGACGACGGTTGGCTCGCTCTGAGCCACCTTCATCTGCCGATCAGCAAAGGACTGTGGGCCAGCGTGGCTGATATCAAAACCAACGAACATACGAGTCTTCGGAAATAGAGATGCATCACTGAAAGCATGACATGAAGTTAAACTCCTCCCGATCTTCTTGTCAAATATGACCGTTTGGTCATTGTCAAGGTAATCCTTAGAGCGGGCACAAAAGAGAAATTGCTTGCATGTTGACCGCGCTCCAAGTTTTACTTTACCCAAGACACCGAACCCTCTCCAGGATCCAACTTTTATAAGCTTAGTCCAAAGGCCATCTCCAAGTAAGACAGATTTCCGAAGCGAATTCTTCAGAATGAGCGACAGTAAACAAGAGTGTTTCGTTGTTATAAGCTTGGAATTTGAACAAAGAGAAAACCTTACACATTTCTAATGTTGGGATTCGAAGATGAAAACTGATCACATGTTTTTAGGATGTGATTGATACCTCCAAGTTTCAGATTCAATTTCAAGCATAGATTTCCGAGCACCATGAAAGCACCCTGAAAACAACGCACGTGAAATTTCCAAAAAAGCCACTTTGCAATACCTTTCAATGTAACACTAAGACAAAACTGAAGGTGTTCTATGAACAATTCGGAAATCCTCACCTTCTGTCCAATAGCTTTGTTCAGAGTTTGGACACTGAGATGCTGGGTTAGTAGACCGTACTGAGCTTCAAGGCGCTTCATCAAACCTAAACGAAAAGATTTCCACCTATTACAGAATCAGCTAGGGAATTTAAGCTCAAGAAAATTCAAACTTCATAACCATGAACTGGATCCAATTTCGCCTTTGTGGTGAACATTACAAATTTGCTACTGTTACTAAGATGCCTCATCAGTGAGTCGATATTCTGCTCAATTTCACTGCTTGTTTCGCGAACCTCAGCCTGAATGTTTTGGTATGGGGAATAGAACAACTGCAGTGATCTGCGCATGATTCTTATCTGAAGAGCGAGGCTAAGGAACGCCAACCAACTCTGAATACGGCCACCGTACAAGAAGAGACAGCAGCAATTCAAAAACAAACCAAGTTAAAAACAATAGTATGAAGCTAATTTGTGAAGGCACCAAATGGGAACACATCTCTGATGTCAAGGACCATTGCACCTCAATGTACAACGTAGGAAAAGCGCAAGAATCAAATCAATAATCCTTTACTTAAGAGAAAGCTCCAACATGCTTGAAGAGGGAGGAGTTAAGGGGGAATTGGAAAAAACTCAAAATCGTGAATGTGGGTCAAAATCCAACGGATCATTCACACATTTCAACAGATGAAAGTTCGAAAAATGCGACTTACGTCTCGTGCTGATATCTGCACACCATGCTGGGAAGAGTACCTCGACAACGCATCGATGAAAGACCTGATAGGTGATTTTGAAGGGATGCTACAGAAAACTTTTAGAAAAAATCGAGGGAAGGGTTCAGACATACTCCGCATCGCTCTTACGAACACATCCATCGAAAATGATAAATGTCCACTTCCCATACAGCTTGGCTGGCTCCGCAAACTGCTCTCTCGCTCCCAATTTCCACTGCATGTCGCCTAAGTGATTTGGTTGCACCTTCATCGAACCCCCATAGGTGATGGCAGGTGGGTGGAAACGTCTAGCAACGGCACGCATCGGTCGAGTAGAGATTTTGACCTGTAATCTGATATGGTGGAAGAATTTAAAATTGAAAAATGCTTATATAATGTTGACGAAGAAGGGGTTTCGAATCCCACAAAAGTTGAATAGAGCCCCAAGTATTCGATAACCTGGGAATCTCTCAAGTGAGATCCGTTTCGAGATATATAACAGTGGCTCTTATCCTAGATTGCAACAATAGAAATTGTTCAGTGGTTTAGAAACATGAACACGAGAGTTTTTCCATAAATCAGTTGTACTAAGAATCTAATTGCAACTCACGCCCCATTCCACAAAGTATGGATTGTCGTTGTTGAGCCCAGCGGCACTTATTTGCTCTTCGACGTGCTTCCTCATTTGCACAGGGGGGAGCTGACATTCTCTTATCATTGATTCCGACTGAAATAGCCACAAGGAGTCAAAATACAAAAGATTTCACATCCGATCTATTTATAATACTCGTGTACGGTACATGGACGGCTCGTGTCCCTGAGCAAGTTACAATCCCCCGCCGTCAAAACCGCCAAGTCTACAACAAGTAAACTGAATAAATAATATCCATTCATTTTGAGAATTATGATAACCATAAAAAATAATAGTAGCGATTAATAGTAATAGCTAACTGAAAACTCAATTCATATTGTAGTTGTGACAAATGATGATTGAATCAAATAAATGAGTGTTTTCATCAGTCAACAAAGACATAATTTCAAGGGCTGGACGAAAAGTTCGGTACCACGGCAGTAGGCAGTAAGGTCGAAATAGTCACTAGAAGTGTAAAAAAAACCGAAAAACTTAGAATGTAAAAACTATCTATCAGTATTAAGGCAAATAGTGAACGCACCATTTGAGGTGTCTGTTTTTCCGTGGTAACTCGTTGCCCGCGCTCAATTTCCAACACTTCCATGGGGTGATAAACAAAACCTTGGGGCTTTCGTTCGATACACAGCGGAAGGTTCGGGTATCTGAACCACTTGTGAGATGACTTGGATAGTTGCTCGTAGTGGAGAGGCGTTCACCAACCTAAGTTCCCGTTTGTATCGTTTACGGAAGTACTCATAAACTGTGATTTCCTCACCCTCATGCTCGAATTTAGCACTGAAACAGAGAGCAATTTAGATAGAGGCAATACCATGGGAAAAGTCTGGCACAGACCTTAGGGCACTATCCTTTGACAACCCATTAATGTAAACAACTCGTGGCACCTCCGTGTGAGTCGTGCGGACTGCAACGTCTGAAAATGTGGTTGTTGACAAATGGGTGATTTTCTTATGGAAGTTTTCCTTCTATTTTCAAAACTACAAATAATCACTTGGCAAATCAGAATACAAAAGCACACGACCTTTCAACTGCCTAACAATTTCCAGCATTGATTTCTTGTTTCTCAACGCATCCTCCAAAGTCACACCATGCCGATTATCAAGTCCCAAGTAGGATTCACAGAAGCTAACAACTGACGTTTGACAGAAGAAAGGTGACTTTTTCGCTGGAAGACATATTAGCTAATTTGCATAGCCTTTTCGATATTACTCGTGGTTCCAGTTTTGTTTAAAACGTTAATCATTGGTTACTGCTCAAAGATGGAGAATCAAATTCGCGAAAATACAGAAATGGAGTTGTATTGGTGGGAGTTCCACATTTTACATTCTGTCTTTCGTGGAGAGGCAATGTGACACGTAGAACCCCTAACAATGGTGGGTTCTTTTTTGAACCTTTAACACGTGGGAACGTAGGCTCACATGATCGGTATAGTTGCCGTGCCCTTCGCAATCGGCTGCACCATGGATATAGATNTTGCAGGCTTCATTCACTTTACTCGCCAGATTCGTTCGCTTTGACTTCACGTGTGTAGCTCTTATCGCATCAGCTTCCTGCCCACCTGTCCTATTCCTCCTTTCCTGTGTTTAATATATCACACGATAGCTTGCAGCTAATGAAGTGTATATGGACGCGTGCTAATGATTCAGAAAACTCTCCTTCCCTATACCCACTAGTTATATCTCACGATCTTTCAACAGTGCTAAAAGCGAATTCTGCGATTCTCCATCTCTGAACATCAAGTATCTGCTAATCCTTGAACTATTTCAAGCTCAATCACAACCAACATAATATGGCACTAAACGCACGTGATATATTAGAAGAGAAATCGTACCTCCTATCTGCAACATTGCTAAAACTTCGCCAGCTGACTCCACCACGCGACAGTTCTTTTCAAATCCACACTTCACTACTTTCCCTTGTGGTAATGGCGCATCATTTTTTGATGAGCGCTCGTACGCCTTGTTTCCGAACAATAAATGATCTTCACTGAAATATTCCAAAACTAGTCAGGCATTTTTCTGTTAAGTTCCTGATTTGGAAATCGACTATTTCACAATTCCAGAGCTTTCTTCTCATTACACACTTCAAGAGGCAAACTACCAAAGCACACCATAACCCCGCATTGTCTTTCCCCAAACCTGTGCGTGAAAATGATGTCTTTAAACCTATGACGGTCTCGCGATTTCAAAATCGAATCAGACCCATTAAGTTGCACATGGTTGCTGGTTGTTTAGCACTTGCATTCAAACAGTTGTAAACCACTTACTTCTTCACCATTCCAGCAGATGTTAAAATTTCGAGGAATTGCTGGGTTTCCCTGATTTGTTCAACCTCACCATTTAGAGTTGGTGTGAATACATGGGTGAACTGAATCTCAACCTCTACCTAAACACACACGAAATTCAGACCAACCTAACACATGACCATTGCGCTCGTACCTTAACACATGCAGGTCCTAACTGCTTCTTGGTGTTCGCGGAACTGATGTCAGTCTGCAATACTAGACTCTAATTCTAAATATACGGAAAAAACCATGGAAAGGCCAGAAACTCCATCCAAAGCCCTAGAGCCAAGCTCGCGGAAAAGAACCACATGTGTAACTTACAGGAAGAAGATCAATCTTTAAGGCAGCGTCGCCGCGTTCATCAGGCAGTGGTTTCTTCATGAATAAGCTGTTGCCACAGTCATAAATGAACGAATACTTGGACGATTTAGGGAATAAATGTGCATGTTTCTTCACCAAAGTGTTGAACAAGGACATGCAAACGCGACGTCGCGACTGTACAATAAAACTGAAAAATACTGTCAAAACTTACAATTAGAATGAGAAATTCAGCTCTAATATCTCTATTGTAAGACTCGACAAATCTAAATTTTGAGGACCTACTCCTGTTTTTGTCCTCGTGTGAGATCGCGGGTCTTACGATCCGTGTGCTTCGTAAAAGAGATCCTGTAGTGATATATTTCTCTTGGTAGCCCTCTAATGTCCATCATGTAACCATTCAACTCGACTTCGAACTCAGATGCCGTTTTCACAGTGACTGCCGAAGAAGGAGCAATTTTCGCTGAAGATATAAGCAGTTCAACCCCAGTATTTAGACCAATCACTAAGATGGGCCCTCCTATCCCACAACTCATTTCGAATATTCAAAAGAAGTTTAGCAGTAGTTCGAGACATGTGAAACCCACGGGGAAGTTTGAAGTCTTCAGCATTCCTCATTGCCTCATCATCAACAAACATTTCTTCGTCACCGGAAGCCATACTTACCTTATGAAACCTTATGAATTCTGAAACGATGATGAACTGCTTGTATTAACCAAACCTTCTCGATGCGATGTTATTCGACGTCCTTTCGACGATTCGCGATCACAACATTCGAACCTGTATTTGACCTACAGCATAACTCTCGATGGTTGTACAGATCAATGCTCGAGAAGGTTTGGTTATCAAATATCACAAAACACAATTTGTTAGAATAATCAAGACAACTTGACGACTCGCAAGAGGTGACCTTATAGAGTCGAGAAGCGAATTTTGCTTCCTTCTTCTTGAAAATTGGATCCGGTTGCAAGCACTGCTTTTGCTGAGCAGAAATTAAGAATTGAGGATTTGAAAGTGTATCGACTCAGTATATACACATTGGGAAAATCGGCAGTCGTTTTGGAGCATTTTCTGCAATCCACTCTTACGGGTGTGATACACATAGACTCCACTTCCCCAGTATTTCAATCTTCAGAACGTGAGGTTATGGAACCAGAAAAATTAAAATAGAAAAAAATTGCGAGGGTGTACGCTACATTTAGATTTTTCATGGTGTCTTACCGGCCGCCTTTCATACCACATGCCACCGCTGTAAGCCTAAAGCACTAGCTCACGCGGTGATGTAACCGATACCGCGACCATTCTTTTAACCTGCCAGGCAGTTTTAACCTGCCAACTGTGCAAGACCGGTTCTTCAAGCAAATGGTCAGGGATAGAACATGCAATATTTTGTTTTTAGATCATGCAATGCGTGTACTGGCTGAGCGTCTTCACCAAATTTATGTGTTCGTCATAACCAAATGCACCCATTCGTGCAGATTACCGTGTGAGGTGAAGCACCGATGCTTTCTATTCTCGAATCCCCCATGAGTAAATCGATATAACTGATAGCAGCTTTTCCCGAGCTGTTCTACTAACGCTGTCCTACTGAGCTCCCTCAGGTTAACGGAAATGAACCCCATCCACTAGCGCTAACTGCATGCTCATCCATGAAGGGTAGGCACGTGATAGGGACGGTAGGGGACGCGGCTAGGTGCTTTCATAGTTGGGCGTCAAGTGTCATTGAAGCAAATGCGTGCGCGGCTGCAGGCGACTCTGACGAATATACTCTATCCATTCTCAAGGAATGAAAGCAGAAAACAGGAGGCTACCAAAAAGGAACAGGTGAATAATATGAAAAGCAAGATCGTACCAAATGAAAACTACCAAGCAATCGATTCAAGCTCCTATAGCAAAGAGAGCAGAGGAGAGCAGTAACCTACAATGTTATAAAACAAGTTCAAGATAACATCGACCGGTAACAATAGTGGTGATTCGTTTCGCCACGTATTCTCAAAAGAATCACTTAGTGGAGTTGACTCGCGTGGCTCATCAGTGAGTAAGAGCCAACTCCACTCTAAAATATTATTAACAAATGATCCTATAGCATACAGAATTAGTCCCGTGCCTTATTATACCCATAAGCTTGACCCAGAATCTGATGAAAACCAGGAGTGATTGAGTTACACCCAAGTGTGGGAATGTTCAAAGCGATTCAGCGTCATAACTTCGATAATGAAGAATGAAGGTGAGCAGAGAAATTGGAGCGCCTCAAAATACCTTCAACTCCGACATGGCAATAAAACTCGCGGTATCAAATAGGACATCACGCAAACTGGTGCGTTGCAATTATTTAGCCTAAGAACGCACACACTGGATGTATTCTTGGTTCGGTTTCAAGCGTCGAAGATGCAAAAGTGTGAAGCGTATACATCCGGCTCTCATGCCGAAGCCGGCTGCCGAGCGTTATCAAACAGCTCGAACACTGATGCTCGTAAAATAATGCGGCCCGACGTAAAGGCCGTCGAAGGTGGTGCAGTTCTGATGGGGATAACGAACGCGCCACTAGACTCAGGACTACCCAGTCCCCCCTC